GTCCACCAAAACGACCCTCCCCAGCTCGAACCATCCAAATAATCATTGGAGGAGGCGATGACGTATCAATCAATAGAGTAAAATTCAAGACCACCAAAAGCTGAAACAGTTGATCACTCATGAACGGTATGACAAACTCAAAGACAGTATCATCTTCGATGAGTCGGATACCCACGGTTTGGTCTTTCCTCACTATGATGCCCTTGTTATTACTTTACGTATCTTAGATACTGATGTAAAATGTATTATGGTCAATGATGGGAGCGGGGCGTGCATTATCCACCCTTGATTTCTCGCACAAATGAAGCTCGAGGACAGGATAGTGCCACGTTGCATCACACTAACGGGTTTTAACAATGCAATTGAGCAGACTTTTGGAGAAATCGCACAACCCGTCCTGGCCGGCGGCATCACTTTGGAGACCATGATCCACATTATGGACCAGGATACGACGTACAATGCCATCATAGGTCAGCCTTGGATATACGCCATTAAAGCCATCCCCTCCAGCTTATATCAAGTCATCAAATTTCCCACCCTTAGGGGGTATTCAGCGTCCGAGGAGAGCAATTCACTACCCGAGAATGCTATCACATCGGCCAAGACTGTACGTACACCCAGCAATTGAAGGGCAAAGCCGAGAAGGCATAACAATTAATTGGGTCAGGGTCGGGTGGCGACGAAGGGAAAGATGTCACCAAGGACCCCAAAATCATAGAGGCCACAGGGTCACCATAGAGGATCTCGACCTCGTACAACTCGACAAAGACGACCACAGCAAAAAAACCTACATCGGCCATAAACTTCAAGAACCAAGTAAATTCAATCAATTTTTAGCTAGTAATGCAGACTTGTTTGCCTTTTCCTATGTAGATATGTCGGGCATCCCGAAAGAGATATCGACACACAAGTTGAACGCCGACCCATTTTACATCCCAGTACGGAAAGTTAGGCGGAAATTCAATTCCGCAATAAATGACGCGGTCCGCGAGAAAGTTGAAAAAATGCTGGAAAACGGCTCTATCAGAGAATTAAAGTACCCCCAATGGGTTGCCAACGTGATCATGGTGAAAAAGAAGAATGGGAAATGGCGGATGTGCGTAGACTTCACAGATCTGAACAAAGCCCGCCCGAAAGACTGATTCCCACTACCCCATATTGACCAACTCATTGACGCAACGACCAGACATGAGCTATTAAGCTTCTTAGACGCCTACTCGGGCTATAACCAGATCCTTATGGAGGAGGAAGATCAAGAAAAGACCACTTTCATCACTCACCAGGGGACGTACTGCTATGGAGTGTGCCTTTCGGACTGAAAAATTCAGAGGGGACGTATAAGAGGTTGGTTACAAAAATGTTCAATGACTAGTGTTGATACCCAATTTTTTTCTATATATTTTTTATACTCAAAATACTTTCAAAATAGCATGTGTATGCATATATAAGCATGCCCAAGTATTTCGGTATTTTTCCCAAATTTTTAAAATTTTCAAAACCAATTTATTGTCTATTTTAATAGTACAAAATCCAATAATTATTTCCGAAATTATTATTTTGGTGAATAATTTATTTCCATCCTCATAGTTACACCAAAATATAATTAACGTGATTTTTTCATACTTTTACAAATTCATTTGATATTTTTAAAGCTAAATTACATAAAATTGCAATTATGGCATATATTACGATTAATAGCGTTTTGCAATCATAAATTCATTTACAGAATATTTAGATTAATTTTTATATATTATTAATTAGCTCAGTGCTTTTAATTTATTTTTAAGATCATTTTACTATTTTTTATAAATAAAAAGGGTAAAACTGGCTATTTAACATGTAGCCTCAGTTCATTTCAATTATAGCCCCATTATATTTTAATTTTAGCCTAAAAGTGACCCAATTTCAAACTCAAATTCGGACGACCCAATTCTGTTTTTTACCCGACCCCTTAACCCGTCCGGATTTCCTTTTAAATCCTGGCCGTTGATCATTTTGATCAACGGCCCTGATTCA